TATTATTATTATTATTATTATTATTATTATTATTATTATTATTATTATTATTATCATCAACAAGCTCTGATGCTAAGGAGTTCTACCTCCCCAACCCACCTGAAAAGAAATCTCTTCTAAATGCAAAACACAAGCAGAGGAGAGAGGAGTTTCAGTTTCACAGCAGCACCAAGAAGCTTTAGTGGAAGTTGAGCTAAGCTACGCCCAGGCTCCTTGCTGTCTCCTTCTTGCTCACACCACAAATAGTCTTTCAGTTTCCAAACAGCCCTCCACACTGATGGGACACGAGCCAGATGAATACCCATGGGTGCTTGTAGGCCGAGGTAGAATCCCCCCGCCCTTATTTTCCTTCCCAAAACTAAGCCCAATCACATAGTTTCATGCGAAGCACAGGTATCCAGCTGGTATTAAATATACAGTATTCACCTAGGGGGGATAATATGTGTATATGTGTTTTCCATTTTAGTGCGCGTTTTTCCAGCGTCTTGTTTTTGGGGTGGGTGGGGCCAGTCAGGAGTGGGATTTGGGGATTCTTCAAACTGCACAGAATCTTAGCTAGGGGCTCTCTTCTGAACCCCTGCGAACCCCCAGTAGTCCAGCCCTGGATATTCCCATGAAGGCATCTCTCTGCGGAACAGCAACCCTTTCCGTTTTGCAGGATTCAAGAACTGGCGGGATGAATATGGGTGGGGGCGTTTCATGCGGCGCTAACACGTTGGGGTCTCTCCTTTTTCTTGCCTTCTCCCCAGGTCTGAGCATCCGAGGGGCGCAAGAGGAAGACCCCCCCGACCCTCAGCTCATGAGGTTGGACAACATGCTTCTTGCAGAGGGAGTCTCCGGTCCCGAGAAAGGCGGGGGGTCAGCGGCAGCGGCGGCGGCGGCGGCAGCTTCGGGCGGGACTTCAGATAATTCTATCGAACACTCCGATTACCGAGCCAAATTGACGCAGATCCGACAGATCTACCACACCGAGTTGGAGAAATATGAGCAGGTTAGAGCTTGAAGCTTTACCACCTGGTTACATTGGTGGTGATTCTCTTGTTTTGAACTCCAAAAACCGGGAAAAAAATGACATGTTGAGGTTCTTCTAGCAGCTCCCAGCCTACAGACAGACTCTTGCCAGGCTAAAGCGCGCTACTCGCATCCTTAAAGATTTACTCTTGAGAACTTCTAGAGAGAACCCACCTATCTTGGCCCTCTTTCACCCAACCAAAACTTTGCTGTCTCTTAATCTTCAGGAATTCAGCCCCTCCTCCTGGGAATCCAGACCCCATTCTGCCACATTTGTGAAGCTTCAGAAAGCAGCCCAGTAGGAAACTATATGAATTCACGCCATTTTGATTTTTTTAAAAAATAACTTGTAAATTCTACAGGTTCAGATATATGAAGGTTGATGTTAATCCTCACTTGGAAGGATGGATGAAAGAGAGGGAAAAACTTGGGGTCTTGGGCAGAAAAGGGAAAATGTAGCCAATAATTTTTTAAAACAATTATGGAAAATGTGTGTATAGTCATAATAATAATAATAGGTCCTTGGACAAAAATCCCCATCAGTCAATTGTAAAAGGCAGCTTTGTGACTCGGAATAGCTTACATCCCGCAGTTATTCCCCATCAAACAATGGTATCCCGGGTCCTTGGGAAGATAGGTTTAAAAAAAAAAAAAAACCATGCCAAATCCAGTCTGAACCACTGACCGGCCATAATGCCGTCTTCCTGAGCCCTACGAATCCTGCCTCGTGCCTGACCTACATAGTGAGAGAGACGGGGAACGTTAACCTGATCTCTTCCGTTATCTGGGTCAGCGGCACTTCTATCCCCCCTAAGAAGGAAGGCAGCCCAGATGTCTTGCCGTTTTTCTCCGGCGTGCCGCGGCTCCCTTGCAACCCAGGAGCAAAAGGCCTGGCGCTGTCTTGATTGTGGCTTCAGCCCCCACCCCAACCCCCTGCCTGGAGTTTGATTTTGACGTTTGTCGCCGGTTACCAGGGTGCATTTCAAAAACAGCGGGGGGGAATTGGGGTGGTGGGGAGGAGCGGTGGGGAGAGAGGGAGAGAAGGAACGAAAGCCAGCCCTTTCAGGGAAGGATGCTTTGCCGTCGTTTTCCCAGCGCCAGAAGAAAATCTTTCCCTTCATAATTTACAGCTGCTATAATAGAGATGACATATTGAAAGCTATCTTCTATAATTACATTGAAATACATTTTTTTTTTTTTCTTTCTTTCTTTCTTCCCCCGCTCTGGGCAAAAGTATTTGTAAGCATCTCGAAACTCCCAGGATAACTGGGGAGCTGCACGCCCGGATGCCCTCTTTCAAAAAGGAGGGGTTTTTTTGAGGGGAGGGGGCAGCAAGGAAGGGGACCCCCAAACTAGGAGCCTGCTGGACAAGGCAGAGGGATGGAGAGGAACGGAGGGGGTGGTGGTGTTATTATTATTATTTTTCACGGAAGAAGGAAAAATAAAATAAAATAAAATAGAGGCTGGACCCAACAGGCAATTTATCATGCTAAAACTGCAGCGGGGGAAATAGTGACTTCCAGCTGACTTAAAAGCATCACAGAGCCGTCTCCAGATTTAGGTAAACCTGCTGCACGTTTCCGCTTGCTTCTCTGGGCATCGTGGCGAATAATTCTCGGGGAGCAATCCCGCCGCAGGGGTGGAGGTGACGTTTATCCTAACCATAACCCTGCCCCAAAGAAGATGAGGGAGTCAACCTATTCTCCAAAGCCCCAGAAGGCAGGACAAGAAGCAACGGATGGAAAACGGATCAAGGACAGAAGCAACCCAGAATTAAGGAGGAATTTCCTCAAAGGGAGAAGGATTAACCTTTGGGACAAACTTGCCTCCAGAAGTTGTGACTGCTCCAACACTGGAGATTCTTAAGAAGGTGTTGGATAACCATTTGTCTGAAATGATATAGGTTCCCTTGCTTGAGCAGCGGTTGGACTAGAAGACCTCCAAGGTCCCTTCCATTATTCTGTGATTCTATGGAGCCTCGTCTTGGCGGGGCGGGGCTGAAGTTGGTTGGGAGAAGAGTTTCCAGCCAGATCTTTCTAGGGTATTGTCTCTGGGATGACACAGGGATTCAAAAGTCCCTTTTGATTGCTTCCGAGGGAAAAAGCCTTGGTTTTAGGTAACCACTGTGTTAAGATTGCCCCTGGTTTTTTTTTTTTTAATTATCTAAATGTAAATACTTAATGAATTTTACTTAGAGTAATGAGCTAAGTGCACACTCCATAAATGAGTTGTTCAGATTAATCACGGATGAAGGGCTGGTTGTAGAGGCGAGCTTTTTGGAATCCTGCAGGAAGGAAGACTGCTGGCAAACTGCTCATCAAGATTTGCACCCGTACAGATCATCCTCGACTTACGACCACGGTTGAGCCTGTCGCTTCTGTTGCTAAGTGAGAAGTTTGTGGAACGACCTGGAGTAAGCATGTTCTGGGTTCAATCCTTGTTCAGTTTCCATCGATTGTTCCTTGTCTGGCCTTCAGGTGCTTTGGAGAATAGCTTGATCCCCTCCTCCTCTCTGGGGCAGCCCCTCAAACACTAGAAGATGCTCTCCTGTCTCCCCTGGTCCTTCTCTTCCCTAGACCAGCCAGGCCCAGTTCCTGCAACCGTTCGTTGTATGTTTCATCCTCCAGTCCCCTAATCCATCCTCCAGTCCCCTAATTCATCCATCTCATCTAGTCCAACCCCGCCACCCAAGCAAGGAGACCCTACCCCATTCCTGACAGATGGCAGTCCAGCCTCTTCTTGGAAACCTCCAGGGATGAATCTCCCACAACTTCTGAAGGCAGCTTCTGTTCCGTGGGTTGGTTGTTCTCACTGTCAGAAAATCTCTCCTAATTTCTAGGTTGAATCTCCTTGATCAGTTTCCTTGCTTTGGAAAACAGCTTGACCCCCCCTCTCCTCCTCTCTGTGGCAGCCCCTCGAGTATTGGAAGACTGCCATCCTATTTCCCCTGGTCCTTCTCTTCACTCGACTAGCCACGCTGCGTCAGGATTCCGGCAAGCACCCTAATTAAATCATGATTCTCGAGCCAAACTTCAAAAAACTTTATTAGAGGATTCATACTGGCACTGCCAACTCTGGCCTAGATCATTTGCAGTCCCCTGGGACCCTGTTTCCACTCCCCACCCCCCGGGTGTGTCATAAATCAGGTTCTCCAACTGAATGCGCTGCCGGGCTGGCTGTCATCATTCACGTTCTCCAATCAAATATATTCACGGGCAAAAGCTCTGGTAGTTTAGTTACAATCTTTTCAAGATAAAGAGTTGGAATGCACTTCAAACGGTTGCACAGGGATGTTTTATGAGTTGACGTCCGTTCATTCCTGCAACCGTTCATCGCATGTGTGAGCTTCCAGTGTCCGAACTGTGGTTGACTTTGGGTTGCGTTGCAGATGGTTGGAGGAGAGCGGTGGTTGTTTTCTGAACTTGGAGTAAGCCTGTGGTGGGTTTTTTCCCCCCCCAAGGACCCCTCCCTCCTCACTCTCTCCTCTCCTCCCCCCCTCTCTCTGCAGGCGTGCAATGAATTCACCACCCACGTGATGAACCTCCTGCGAGAACAGAGCCGAACGAGGCCCATTTCCCCCAAAGAGATCGAAAGGATGGTGGGCATAATCCACCGGAAATTCAGCTCCATCCAGATGCAGCTCAAGCAAAGCACTTGTGAAGCCGTCATGATCTTGAGATCCCGGTTCCTTGATGCCAGGTGGGTAGATCCGCTAGATCTCTCAGGAAGGGGTTGTCCCCGCTAGCGATTGGCAAGCCAAGCTAAGTTGGAGGAGCTCAAGGTCATCGTCAGCTTCGTTTTCCGAAGGGCCACTTCCAAGGCCAATTTCCTTCTTCTTCTTCTGGTGCTCTTGATAGAAAGGAGGCAGCTTTAAGGCTTGTGGACTCCCCAAATTTCCCAGCCAGCAGGAAAGACCCACAGTAGCCACTCTGAACCTCCCTGTTAAGATTGGCCCGTTTTTTGTGGGGTTTTTTTGGTAATTATGTAAATGTAAATACTTAACCAGTTTTGCTTAGAATTAGCTGGCTGAGGAATTCTGAGAGTTGAAACCTACAAGTTGCCAAGTTTGGAGGTCACTCTGGTCCAGAAGATGTTATCATTGAGTCTCACCTGTGGGATTTCTCTTCTTCCTTCCTTCCTTCCTTCCTTCCTTCCTTCCTTCCTTCCTTCCTTCCTTCCTTCCTTCCTTCCTTCCCTCTCCCTCTCCTTCTCCTCCTTCTCCTTCTCCTCTTCTCTTTCCCTCCCCTCTCCCTCTCTATCCCTCTCCCCCTTTCTCTCTCCCTCTCCTCCTCTTTCCCCCTCCCTCTCTTTTCTCCTTCCTGTCCCTCTCCCCTCCTCTGCTCTGCTCTTAGGCGAAAAAGGCGCAACTTCAGTAAACAAGCCACAGAAATCCTGAATGAGTATTTTTACTCGCACCTCAGCAACCCCTACCCCAGCGAAGAAGCCAAAGAAGAGCTGGCCAAGAAATGTAGCATCACAGTATCCCAGGTAAAACCTGACTCCTTCCTCTCTCTGTGTGTGTGTGCGTGTGTGTGTGTAGACGTTTGACAACAGGTAGGTTCCCTCGTGAGAACGATTGCCATTTTCTGAAATTAAAATGGCCCTTCCTGTGTTGTTCTGGTCCTTGTTGCAGTTTGCTCTTCTCTTAGCCAACGGGGTGGTGAGCAGCAGAGAAGTTTCTTTCATGGTCCCTTGGCTTCTGGGTGGCCTCCAGAGGCTTCCTTGGGGGGGCGGTCCTTTCCTCCGATGCTAAGCCTCTCTGGACCAGTCTCATGCCAACTAAATCCAGCAGTTGAAGTACCTTGAAGGCAAAGGCTGTGGAAACGCCAGTCTAGACCCCACAGAAGAGAATGCTTATGTTGAAGGGGTTAGAACCGGTCCGAAACAGCTGCATGCCACCACTGGAGTTGGACAAGCGAAGCGGCTCCAGAAGGGCTAGATTCCCATCTTCGTGGCGCAGAAGCTTTCTCGGGCCTTCTGGCTGACGGAGGAACTTACCCAGAGAGCGGCTAATTAGAATTTAAAAGCCAGCCTCACATATGATATGATTGGCCTTTGTAAAGGAGGCCTACTCATGTGGATCACCTAATTATGTGCTAGGAAGGAAGAAATTCTCTATGGCCTACTTGAACCCTGTCCAGCATTGTTCCTTTGTGGCTAGAGAGAGAGAGAGAGAGAGAAAGCGAACAGGAGAAGAAGAAGAAGAAAAAATAAAAACAGCTTGTATTTTCCAGCAACTTGCCCGTATTCCACTTATGGTTATGGAAATTTGAACACAGCACAAGGAGAGAAGCCCCCCCCAAAGAATGATCTCAGTACTCCACCGATATCAGAATCTTATTTGCAATGTGAGCGGGTAGATCCCTCCAGAGAACTGACAGCCAAAATAGACTTATCTTTTCTGCTCTTTGTCTCCGATGTTGATATTCGCGCTGGCTTGTGGTTTTCTGGTGTTGGCATCTGCTACGGAAGTACGGCACCTCTGTCAGGAAAAGGTCTACTCATTGACTGAGATTATTAGTTGTTAATTGGACACCTCCAAAATGAATTGACGTTGGTCTGGGGGGGGTTTTTTGGAGGAATTTTTGGAAGCCAGTCAATAGGCCTGATACAAGAGAATATTTCTAGCTCAGGGTTCAACTGCGGGGGTGCTCTCTAAGTTGGCTGTTTTCCTGCAGATATTTTATTATGCAACTATGGAACATCGTGAGTGCTAGTGAGCGCAACTTACTCCGTGTTTATATCCAGGAGCTCACCCTGCAACCAGCACCCAATATTCAGATAAGCGGGGATTAACCCCAGACAAACAATCAAGGAGAAAACAATACCCTAACCAAAGAACTACTGACACCTTCACCAAAACTGACAGAGCAAGCCGCTGTATATAAACAAGGGAGCAAAATCCCACTGCCTTCTAACACTGATGGTGTTACCTCGTTTGGTAATGAAACATCTGCAAGAAAACGATCAAACTCGGAGCTACTATAAATAAACTGGGAACAGGTCACGCCGACTAGCACTGATGATGTTGCCTAGCTGGGTCACGAAATGTCTGCAGGAAAACAACCAAGTGTAGAGACCGCCCAGGTAACCAGCAAAGCAAATTATTTTATAGCTTGGTTGCTTCCACTCAGTAGAACAAAAAAAGTTGAAAAATGGAAGAAAAAAAAACCCCTCCGGGTACATTTTATAGTCTATGGAGGAGGCTAATGGGTTTCTGTTTGAGGTTTTCAACACCCATAAGATCAAATCTTGGCTAAAGCCATTTTTAGAGGGAAATCTCAAAGCAACCATTCCAATCAAATCCAGCCCTGGACTGGAAAAGAATTGCACATTGTTACCTTGAAGGATCCAGTGAAACTCCGATTAAAAAGAGATCTCATTTTGTGGAAGGATAACCAGGACAGGTGTCATTTTTTTCTAAAAATGTATTATTAACAAATCATGCATTTTGAACCGGAGGTAGCTTGGTAGACCCATGGATGAGTTTTTAGCACTTTTTGACAGCATCAAACCTGGACAGCATTTCAAGATCTCTCTTGTACATTTGGTGAAACTTAAACCATCTTTAAACAAACCAAGTCAAGAAGGTTGTGTTTTTAAAAACAAACAAACAGTGCCATTGTTTCTATCATTTTTCAGAGTCAGGATCCGGCGGTTTAATTAGGAGCACTTTGCCAAGCTCTCAACCAAACAAGGGGAAATATAAGTTGAAGGTCCGGTTATCTGGTGACTCTTCCCTTTTTTCCTTTGATATTTGGAGGGCAGCGTGTTTTGGTAGCCGTCCTTTCCGTCCAAGATCAAACAAGTCTGCTTCTCCCCAAAGTTGTGCATCTTCCCGACTGAACAATAATTTATTGCCTTTTTGAAAATTTAGCATTGCAATTAACGTGATGAATCAGTGCGAGGGTATTGTTTTGAAATGTAATACACAGTTAAGCCCAATTAATTAATTGGCTTTCAGCGACTGGGAGCAGAGTGATGTCGGTTTGGGCTTTTGAATGCGCAGCTAGTTTGTTTAAATGAACAATGGAGCACCGTGCATAGATGTATCTATTCATCCTCCCTTCCACCCTCCACCACCAAAAATAAAACTTCTAATATCCCTGAAGGAGACAAAAGCTTGGTCATTGCCAAGAAAACATGAGACCCAGCATGCTTTGCTAATTGTGGGGCCAGGCGTTTTTTCTGACTTTCTTCTGCCTTGTCCTCCATCTGGCTGGAGAAGAGATCAAAGGGTCTTGAGCTGTAGGACAGCTGCTAACCTTGGCACTCCGCACAAGCTCCTCTTCATAGGGAAAAGGGTTCAAGAGGCCCAGCGTGGCGGCGGTGGGGCTTCCGGGAGCTCTTCCCAAAGAACCTCTTTTGCGACTCCCGTTTCCCCGAGAGCGATGCCTTCTCCGATGGGTCTGAACAGGGCCTCCGTCACGGAGGAGCGTGATTCGATTTGGACCTCTTTATTGACTTCTTGCAAGCCGTGGCCCAGGCCTGTTACGTTTTGCAATTACTTTATACTTCTTGGAAAGACAAGGAGAGGGGGGGAAAAAAAGGAGGCCATCTGCGGTTCTTCCGCTCGCAACGGCAATTCGGTTAAGTCTTGGCGGTGCTTAATGGCGGCTCTTTGTCATCAAAGGATACAAGTTCCTGGAAAACATTTGCAAAGGGCAAGAAGTGGGTTGCCTGCACGCCCTTTGCAAGAGAAAGGCAGCACGTTTAAGGAGAGGGGAGGCCCGTTCTTTGTTTTTCGGAGGGCTTTTAAAAGACCTACCCTTGTGAAATTTAGGGCCATTTTTAGATCGAACATTTTCCTTGGTGGCTCCATCCGTAGGTGCCGCCTTGCATGCAAAATTCATAAAGATTTGTATTTGTTTGCTTTCAAGAGAAAACTCGGTGGTATTATTATTATTATTATTATTTTAAAGTGCGGCTCTCCATCCTTTTGTTTTCAGCCAACGCCTGGGTGTGTTCCGAGGCAGTTCAGCAAAAGAACAAGCTATAGTTTGGAGTTATCCATGGCTTTGATGACAGTTGAGTCCCCTAAATTGCACACTGTGTGTGTGGTTTATTTTCCCCTTCTTGGACACAGCAGGGAGGTGTCCGTTCTCCTCTCTGTCGGCTGCCTTCTGAGTTCAGTTGAAGGAATAAAGGCTTGCTTAGAAGGAGACGCCGGGATTAAAAAACCAGTAACCGTCGTGGATGTTTGGGGTTTATTTTTATTTATTTATTTTTTTTTTACCTGGGATGAGGCCAGCCCTGACTTTGATATTCCTGGGGTTGCGTTGTGCAGGTTAAACATAATGTACGATCCACTGCGCCTTTCATTGCTTCCAATTAAACTTTGCTTGTTAGTTTAACCTCAAGGTAATCCCATCAAACAATGGATAGCAAAGACAACACTGCCCACAGTAGCTACGGATGAGTGGCCATTAATTTTAATTGCCTTGATATTAAAGATTAAGAACTAGGGGGACTGGCAGGGTGGAAACAATCTGATGTCAAGCAAATCTGCCTTCCCTAGGCTGCGGGGATATTAAATTTTTTTTTTTTTACTGTGAATTAAACAAGGCTTTATTAGTGGCGGCCATTGCTGGATTGGTCCGGAGGTGTGCATAAACGCCCCGATTTCTTATATATCCACAGACAATCCGCTTGACGTATAGAGATTCTGCAATTATGAAACTGTTAATAAAAGCCATAATTGGATTGTCCGTAGTAATTATTTGCCGGCTTTCATTAATGCTTTATTGCTTCCTGACTGACAAGGTAATATTAAGTGCAATATATGTAATACTTCAGCCGGTCGCCCTGGGAATTTGGGCGGGCCAAAGGATGCACCTTTGCTTATTGCCTTCAAAGCTTAGAGTTTTCATTAATTTAGGGGGAGAGCAGAGGCCAGGATGATGGTAGGAAGGGTTTTCCCTGCTTGCTTAAGACAATGAGGGAGCTTCAGAGGTCGGGCTTTGTTCCGGCGGTAGCGATTTGATGGTCCAGGGAGTTCCAATCCAAACTCTTTCAGCTGGACAGATGATTCATAAGAAGGGCCTTGGTATTCTCCAATGTAGAAATGTTCTTCCAGTCCTGCTCAGAAAGCCTTCAGAGATGCCTGCAAGGATTGCAGTAGCCGACTTAGATAACACTGCACCGTGCTTTGTAGCCAGGGGTGGGCTTCAAATTTTTTAGCAAGAGGCCCTCTGCCCTAATGACTGGATGGGTGGGTGTGGCCAACTCGACGTCGCTTCTTTGCCCTAATTACCTAAAAAAAAAAAAAAGATAACATACCAAAAAGTTTTATTATTTTGTGCGTTTAATACTGAAATAAAAGACTGGGTGAAACCAGAATTAATAGCAGCGACTGTGAGAGGGATCTTGGAGTCTTACTGGAGTTTCTGGTGGGTTACGTGATTTGGGAATTAATCCCCTCGGAGGCTAGTGGCTACGTGATCTGATTTTCTCCATGGCTCTCCCTCACAAGCAGTGAGTGGATTGTTTATCTAGCTTGCAACATTTTTACCAGGTGTGAAATGCTCTTGGCTGAATGCCCAGAAGTTCAATTAAGCCTATTAGGAGCTTTCCCTGGCTGCTTGTCTCTCTGAGGTTATTGGGGGCTCTCTGAGCCCCGCAGAGTCTTAGCTAGGGTCTCTCCCGAGCCCCCAGTAGCCCACCCCTGTTTATAACAGTTTTCAAGAGTCACAACTTGCCCCCCTCCCCCCCCCCCCCCACAATCTGGATCCTTGTTTGACCGAGCTCGGAAGGATGGAAGGGTCAGTCAACCGTGAGCTGCTGAGAATCGAACCGCTGGCAGTGGACAGCGTTAGCCTGCAATACTGCATTCTAACCATTGCACCCCGTTGTCCAATGACATCTAAGAATGTTCCCATGGGGTTGCGTGCTCCTTTCTCAACTCTTTCTTTGAAAGCTCCTTTCTTCTCCTTGGTTCTGAACGAACCTGGTTTTGTTTTCCGGTGGATGCATTCGAAGCGTTCAAAGGGCATTTTGATTTGTGGTTTATGTGCCTTTTGTGAGGGGGAGGCGTGGGAGGGGAGATGATTTTTTAAAAAATTGCCGTGCACGTTAGCCCAACATTCAGAAAAATCTGAAAAGGAAAGCAGCTGGCTGGGCATTAAACCCAGACATGGCACATCAAAACATCTGGTCATCCAGTGGGAGTATATAATCACGTGCCCTCAAATGTTGAGCAAATTATACTGAACCCAGTATTCTCTTTCCTTTCCTTCTCTCTCCTTCCTTTCTCTCTTCTTTTCCTTTCCTTCCTTTTCCTTCCCTTTCTTTCTCTCTCCTTCCTTTCTCTCTTCCTTTCCTTCCCTTTCCCTTCCCTTCCCTTCTCCTTCCTTTCTCTCTTCTTTTGCTTTCCTTTCCCTTCTCTTTCCTTCTCTCTCCTTCCATTATATCTTTTTCCTTTCCCTTCCTTTTCCTTTCTTTCTCTCTCTCTCTCCTTCCTTTCTTTCTTCTTTTCCTTTCCTTCCCTTTCCTTCTCTCTCCTTCATCTCTTCTTTTCCTTTCCCTTTCACCTGTTGGAACTTCCCTTCCTTCCTTCCTTCCTCTCCTCTTCTCTCTCTCTCTCTCTCATTCTCATTCTCTCCTCCCCCCTTTCCCTCTCTCCCTCCCGCTTTCCCTCCCCTTCCAGGTATCCAACTGGTTTGGCAACAAGAGAATCAGGTACAAGAAAAACATCGGGAAGTTTCAAGAGGAAGCCAACCTTTACGCTGCCAAAACGGCCGTGACAGCAGCTCACGCCGTAGCCGCTGCAGTTCAAAACAACCAGACCAATTCGCCCACCACCCCAAACTCTGGTGAGTCTCTGCCTTTTCTTTTCTTTATTTAAAGTGGCATTTGGAGGAGGGGAGGCGGGGGGGGGGAGAAAAAAGACCAACCCGGAAGGCAGGGAGGAAAGGGAGTCTACCCTTCTCCCTAGGCCACTTAGAGTCAAGCCAGGGTTTGTCCTCAAAGATGGAAGCATCCAAAGGCAGAGCAATTGGCGAGAAGCCTTCTTCAAAAATGGCCAGATTGGATACTGTGCCATCTGCAGTCAGGGTGATGCTGTCGTTCGGGAAAACAACCAACCACGACAAAAGTTTTGTTCTTGTTGTTGTTGTTGTTGTTTCTGGCCCACTTGCCATGGTCTCTGGGAGTTCGAACCCCAGAGAATGGGACAACCTGCTTCTCCCTTCTCCACGGCATCCTGGAGCTTCCCAATGGTCCTCGATAACTGGAGCAGGTTCTTCAAGCCAACCAGGGTTTTTGTTGTTGTTTTTTTGGGGGGGTTCCTCTCCTCTTCCTCTGCGTTTCCCTCCCCGCCACACCCCATCTGCACCAGAGGTGGGTCTTCAACCAGTTCTGGAGAACCGGTAGCGGAAATTTTGAGTGGTTCAGAGAACCGGCCAATCCCACCTCTGACTGGCCCCGCCAACCCCATATCTCTTCTCTGCCTCCCGTCGAGTCCCAGCTGATCGGCTGGGACTCCTTTGGTTGCCCTGCCCAGGAGAACGGAGCTGGAAAGCAGGTCGGTGGCGTGGGGAGGGAAGGGGGATTTTGCAGTAGATCCTTCCCCTGAAGTGGGGCGGAAATGCAGATTGCGCAGGACACCGTTCCCCTGCCACGCCCACCAAGCCACGCCCCACAGAACCGGTAGCAAAAAAAAAAGAAAGACAAATGGGAATCCCGCCACCGGCCCTCCGCCCGCCTGCCTTCTTTGCTGCGCTCACCGTCATTCAGCTCCGCTAACTCTTTCGTTTTCCAGGTACTTCCGGTTCTTTTAACCTTCCTAATTCTGGGGACATGTTCATGAACATGCAGAATCTGAATGGGGAGAGTTACCAGGGGTCTCAAGTTGGAGCCAATGTGCAATCACAGGTAGGAGACAACAAAACAAAACAGAAAAAAATAGGGGGAGAAAAAACGCAACACCCCCCCTTCCAAAAAACAAACACCCCAACATCCCGCTAAATTAGGGCGTAGGTAGCAGGGTCTGGTTTGGGCTCGATTTTAAAAAAAGGAGGAACCAAAACAAGAGCCAATAGAAGGGGAAGCGAACCCAGGAACAAATCCAACCACAGATTTCGCCTTCCAGCCGGTTCACACCTCCAGGCACGATTCGGCTCGCCTCCGGTCTTTGGCCTACAACCAAAGCCGACATTGGATCTTTCGGAGCACCGGGGGTTTCTTTGTCCCGGTGAACAACTGGGCGCCTTCCCGGCCGCCGTTGTTCTTCCCCACCTCCCATCTGAAAGTTTTACCAAACTTTGTGAATGCAGTTCGGCTCTGGCTTGGCCCGGTGGCCTCGGGTTGGGTGTGTGTGGTTTGTTTGGCTGTGGGCCTGAAAGTTGTCGTTGGTCTGGTTTTGGTGGGGCTTTGCCCTCGGCTGCTGTTGTGTTGGGGCGAGGTTTTCGTTTCTGCAAAGCAGAGTGGTTTCCCCTATAAATGCTATTTTCTTCCTCCTCCTCCTCCTCCTCCTCCTCCTCCTCCTCCTCCTCCTCCTCCTCCTCCTCCTCCTCCTCCTCTAT